TCACGTCCCTCCTCCTGCCTCCATTACTGTCCCTGACACTTCCCCCGCCTCCATTACTGTCCCCGACACTTCCCCCGACACCATTACTCCGACACTTCCCCCGCCACCATTACTGTCCCTGACACTTCCCTCGCCACCATTACTGTCCCCGACACTTCCCCCGCCACCATTACTGTCCCTGACACTTCCCCCGCCTCCATTACTGTCCCTGACACTTCCCCCGCCTCCATTACTATCCCCGACACTTCCCCCGCCACCATTACTATCCCTGACACTTCCCCCGCCACCATTACTATCCCCGACACTTTCCCCGCCTCCATTACTATCCCCGAGACTTCCTCCGCCACCATTACTGTCCCTGACACTTCCCCCGCCACCATTACTGTCCCGGACACTTCCCCCGCCACCATTACTGTCCCGGACACTTCCCCCGCCACCATTACTGTCCCCGACACTTCCCCCGCCACCATTACTGTCCCTGACACTTCCCCCGCCACCATTACTGTCCCCGACACTTCCCCCGCCACCATTACTGTCCCCGACACTTCCCCCGCCACCATTACTGTCCCCGACACTTCCCCCGCCACCATTACTGTCCCTGACACTTCCCCCGCCACCATTATTGTCCCTGACACTTCCCCCGCCACCATTACTGTCCCTGACACTTCCACCGCCACCATTATTGTCCCTGACACTTCCCCCGCCACCATTACTGTCCCTGACACTTCCCCTGCCACCATTATTGTCCCTGACACTTCCCCCGCCACCATTATTGTCCCTGACACTTCCCCCGCCACCATTACAGTCCCTGACACTTCCCCCGCCACCATTACTGTCCCTGACACTTCCCCTGCCACCATTATTGTCCCTGACACTTCCCCCGCCACCATTACTGTCCCTGACACTTCCCCCGCCACCATTACTGTCCCTGACACTTCCCCCGCCACCATTACTGTCCCCGACACTTCCCCCGCCACCATTACTGTCCCTGACACTTCCCCTGCCACCATTATTGTCCCTGACACTTCCCCTGCCACCATTACTGTCTCTGACACTTCCCCCGCCACCATTACTGTCCCCGACACTTCCCCCGCCACCATTACTGTCCCCGACACTTTCCCCGCCACCATTACTGTCCCCGACTCTTCCCCCGCCACCATTACTGTTCCCGACACTTCCCCCGCCACCATTACTGTCCCCGACACTTTCCCCGTCACCATTACTGTCCCCGACTCGTCCCCCGCCACCATTACTGTCCCTGACACTTCCCCCGCCACCATTGCTGTCCCGGACACTTCCCCTGCCACCATTACTGTCCCCGACACTTCCCCCGCCACCATTACTGTCCCTGACACTTCCCCTGCCACCATTACTGTCCCCGACACTTCCCCCGCCACCATTACTGTCCCTGACACTTCCCCTGCCACCATTACTGTCTCTGACACTTCCCCCGCCACCATTACTGTCCCTGACACTTCCCCTGCCACCATTACTGTCTCTGACACTTCCCCCGCCACCATTACTGTCCCCGACACTTCCCCCAGCTACCATTACTGTCCAAGACAGGAGGCAACTCTGTAAATTGCCTCTGAAAAGTCTGTAATTTCATCTCAAAAGGCTAATATACTGGTATAAAATTCTGGCATCAATTAGTTGTTCAGGGTTCAGCCGGGCAGTTAGCAGGGTGGCGGGCCACATATAGCAGGGTGGTGGACCACATATAGCAGGGTGGCGGGCCACATATAGCAGGGTGGTGGCCACATATAGCAGGGTCTTGGGCCACATATAGCAGGGTGGTGGGCCACATATAGCAGGGTGGTGGGCCACATATAGCAGGGTGGCGGGCCACATATAGCAGGATGGTGGGCCACATATAGCAGGGTGGTGGGCCACATATAGCAGGGTGGTGGCCACATATAGCAGGGTGGTGGACCACATATAGCAGGGTGGCGGGCCACATATAGCAGGGTGGTGGACCACATATAGCAGGGTGGTGGACCACATATAGCAGGGTGGCGGGCCACATATAGCAGGATGGTGGGCCACATATAGCAGGGTGGTGGGCCACATATAGCAGGGTGGTGGCCACATATAGCAGGGTGGTGGGCCACATATACACAGGGTGGTGGGCCACATATAGCAGGGTGGCGGGCCACATATAGCAGGATGGTGGGCCACATATAGCAGGGTGGTGGGCCACATATAGCAGGGTGGTGGCCACATATAGCAGGGTGGTGGCCACATATAGCAGGGTGGTGGCCACATATAGCAGGGTGCAACTATATTGACCTCCCCAGACCAACTATATTGACCTCCCCAGACCAACTATATTGACCTCCCCAGACCAACTATATTGACCTCCCCAGACCAACTATATTCACCTCCCCAGACCAACTATATTGACCTCCCCAGACCAACTATATTGACCTCCCCAGACCAACTATATTGACCTCCCCAGACCAACTATATTGACCTCCCCAGACCAACTATATTGACCTCCCCAGACCAACTATATTGACCTCCCCAGACCAACTATATTGACCTCCCCAGACCAACTATATTGACCTCCCCAGACCAACTATATTGACCTCCCCAGACCAACTATATTGACCTCCCCAGACCAACTATATTGACCTCCCCAGACCAATTATATTCACCTCCCCAGACCAACTATATTGACCTCCCCAGACCAACTATATTGACCTCCCCAGACCAATTATATTGACCTCCCCAGACCAACTATATTCACCTCCCCAGACCAACTATATTGACCTCCCCAGACCAACTATATTGACCTCCCCACGAAGCAACCCACAGGAAGTGCCTAACTCCCAGGTACTTACTGCTATTTGAAAAGCAACATCAGATGAAAGGAAAAGAGCCCATCCGTTTCTGTCCTGCCTGGGGACTGACTAGTGCGGGGTCCCTAGTTGTGAGCCGGGGACGCAGACCACTCTGCTTACGGTAGCTATCAGCCGGCAGCGTCGCTCGCTCTTTTAAATGAACACTGGCTTCGCAATCCGTCCTCTTAGAATTACGTCGCTTTCCGCTCGTATGCGCGCTATGGCCAAAAATTGACGTAATTTGAAATGAAATCGGATCACGAAAGTGACATATTGTCCCGTTTTCTGTTGTGTGTTCTCCGGCTTACTCGGTTAGGTTAGGAGAGGAAACTTTTCAATTAACGGTTTTCATGACGTTTTGAAACGGTAGGAGAGCTTCCTGCCCTCTTAACCTACCAGAGGAACCTTAACTTGCTGTTTTGGAAACAAAAGATTCAAACTTTATTTTCAATTATTTTTCATTTTCAAATTACGTCCATTTTCGGCTATTCTGGCAAACGGCCAAATTCAGACATAATTTGGTATGAGGACGACACGAAAGCTTAATCTCTTTGATTAATGGCTTAATCTCCCTCACAGGAATATTTTCACTCTGATTATAGTTCTCGTAAATGATTTCTTTGGTCTGTCCACGCAAGGTAAAACAACGTTTTTATAACGTTATTATATTGTTACAATGTTGTACAGATGTTACCTGAATGTTGTGATACTGTTTAGTGGTTGAGGAGGTTATTGGTACTGTTGGGACCGTTTAGAAGAACTAATGCATATAACGGGTTACTTGGCGGTAATGCTCTCCACCTGCCCCACCTAGTTCAGTCCCACCTAGCCTAGCGCTACCTAGTACTGCTCCACCTAGCCTGACCTGACCAGTCCTCCCTGGGGCCTGGCGGAATACACGCTACATGCCCGGCTCTTTACCTCAGCTTTGACTCAACCGGTGCTAAAGCTGCCCTGCTGACCGTCCCTGCTGCTCTCCCTACCTCAGCAGCAGCTCCAGCAGCACTAAAGCTGCCCTGCTGACCGCCCCTGCTGCTCTCCCTACCTCAGCAGCAGCTCCAGCAGCACTAAAGCTGCCCTGCTGACCGCCCCTGCTGCTCTCCCTACCTCAGCAGCAGCTCCAGCAGCACTAAAGCTGCCCTGCTGACCGCCCCTGCTGCTCTCCCTACCTCAGCAGCAGCTCCAGCAGCACTAAAGCTGCCCTGCTGACCGCCCCTGCTGCTCTCCCTACCTCAGCAGCAGCTCCAGCAGCACTAAAGCTGCCCTGCTGACCGCCCCTGCTGCTCTCCCTACCTCAGCAGCAGCTCCAGCAGCACTAAAGCTGCCCTGCTGACCGCCCCTGCTGCTCTCCCTACCTCAGCAGCAGCTCCAGCAGCACTAAAGCTGCCCTGCTGACCGCCCCTGCTGCTCTCCCTACCTCAGCAGCAGCTCCAGCAGCACTAAAGCTGCCCTGCTGACCGCCCCTGCTGCTCTCCCTACCTCAGCAGCAGCTCCAGCAGCACTAAAGCTGCCCTGCTGACCGTCCCTGCTGCTCTCCCTACCTCAGCAGCAGCTCCAGCAGCACTAAAGCTGCCCTGCTGACCGTCCCTGCTGCTCTCCCTACCTCAGCAGCAGCTCCAGCAGCACTAAAGCTGCCCTGCTGACCGCCCCTGCTGCTCTCCCTACCTCAGCAAGTGTTGCATGCTCGCCATGGTCGCGTGTTCCCCGCCATCCCCCACCACGAAGCACTAATTACCCGCCCCGTAATTGGCTCGTACACATTGCTTCTTACGGTAATGGCGGCACGGTACACCACGGGTCACTTGCCCTTACCCTCTACCATGACACGTCTGGCCTCCACCCGATTGGTGGTTCTCCTCTGCCTCTAAACCAATCACGGTGTGGTGTTGGAGGGTCTGCTCCATAACTGCCCATACTGTGGATCATAATTGTTGTGGATCATTGCAACACTGGCAGCCTGGCCAGTGTTGCAGTATACTCTTGTTTTGCCTGGGGGATACCTTCACCCCTCCCATGGTGAGCAACAACTCCACCCCTCCCATGGTGAGCAGCACATCCACCCCCCTCCCATGGTGAGCAGCACCTCCACCCCCTCCCATGGTGAGCAGCACCTCCACCCCCTCCCATGGTGAGCAGCACCTCCACCCCCTCCCATGGTGAGCAGCACCTCCAGCCCCTCCCATGGTGAGCAGCACCTCCAGCCCCTCCCATGGTGAGCAGCACCTTCACCCCCTCCCATGGTGAGCAGCACCTCCAGCCCCTCCCATGGTGAGCAGCACCTCCACCCCCTCCCATGGTGAGCAGCACCTCCAGCCCCTCCCATGGTGAGCAGCACCTTCACCCCCCTCCCATGGTGAGCAGCACCTTCACCCCCTCCCATGGTGAGCAGCACCTCCACCCCCTCCCATGGTGAGCAGCACCTCCACCCCTCCCATGATAGAGGGCTGTATTAATCTAATGGTCGTTAAACTTAACAATCTAACGGTCGTTTGAAGTTAGTGTGAGGTAAGCGGCGAACATTTATAATGCCTAAATTTAGATTCCAGGTTATGATATATTCAGGCGAGACATTTTAGGATGACGAACAGTGTAAGGGTGCCAGCCTACCTGGGAGGTGGCCCGGGATGAGTGGGAGGGATGCTGGGAGGGATGAGTGGGAGGGACGGTGGGAGGGACGCTGGGAGGGACGCTGGGAGGGATGCTGGGAGGGATGCTGGGTGGGATGCTGGGAGGGACGCTGGGAGGGATGCTGGGAGGGATGAGTGAGAAGGATGCTGGGAGGAAGATCTGCTGGAGATATCTTAGAGTACTTAAAATGTTAAATCACTTTACACTTATAGCAAAAATCCTCCTGGTTTAGCTATCGATGCCAAGACTGGTCATCATGACCGAGTGATTGAGGGAGGTGGGAGTGGTGCCTTAACTACCATCAACCACCAATGGTCCAATACCAACTGCCACAAGAATCATTCTCATACACACTTATACAACATTATTCATAATATGAAAAAGGATATCAATATGCTTATGATATATATATTCAAAATTACTGTGATAACATGAGACCAGACGATATCAATTCAATAATAAGATAACAAGAGATTATGATGCAGCAACTAAAATAGTCATAGTTGTAAAATAAAAAATGCAATGATGGAAGATAGCCAATATCAGGAATGCAATGATGGAAGATAACCAATATAAGGAATGCAGTGATGGAAGATAGCCAATATCAGGAATGCAGTGATGGAAGATAACCAATATCAGGAATGCAGTGATGGAAGATAACCAATATAAGGAATGCAGTGATGGAAGATAGCCAATATCAGGAATGCAGTGATGGAAGATAACCAATATCAGGAATGCAGTGATGGAAGATAGCCAATATTAGGAATGCAGTGATGGAAGATAACCAATATAAGGAATGCAGTGATGGAAGATAGCCAATATCAGGATGCTACCAGATAACATGGCACAGGTCAACATAAGAGCCGCATGCGGTAGTAACAGGTCAAGATGAGCCGCATGCGGTAGTAACAGGTCAAGATGAGCCGCATGCGGTAGTAACAGGTCAAGATGAGCCGCATGCGGTAGTAACAGGTCAAGATGAGCCGCATGCGGTAGTAACAGATCAAGATGAGCCGCATGCGGTAGTAACAGGTCAACAAGAGCCGCATGCGGAAGTAACAGGTCAACACAAGAGCCGCA